AAAACGTTGATTTTTTGTTTATAAAACGCTTGAAAGTAAGCGTAAAACAATCGAAAAGGAACATTGGTTATAAGCGTAGAAATATAAACTTGTAATAAATGTTCAAAAGAAAGCCTTTTATAAGCGTAAAAGTGTAAACTTATAATAAAGGTTCAAAAAAAGTTGAGTTTAAAAGCTTACATTCTGAGGCTTTGGGTTTTAGCACCCAATCAACAAAATTTTTCATACGTTTTGGGTACATAGGCATGCAATAAAAGAATACGTTTAAAATTATAATACAAATTCTTATTGTATACATCGTAGAGTGAATGCTTTCGCACTACATATTAAGAATATAAGAAATTAAATATTAAATTTTATAATTTATTATAAATTTAATTCAACAAATAAATAAATAAATACACAATTGTAATAATTTTTGAACGCACTTTCCACACCACCTTCGAGGTATGCATATAGGCGCGTTACCGATTTTTTAAAGGTGTTCGGTTCCCCAGGAGGCCTATCTTCACCATTATAACTTTAATTAAAAATGTTTTAAAGCATGCAATAAAAGAATGCAACAACAAAAAAACAAATTTTCTTAAAACTAGTAAACATAAAAAAAATTTGCGAATAAAATTCATAATTCAAAATAAAATATCACAATCGTTTTTATATATACATATTTACAAAATGAATTTTAAAGCACCCACAGTAAGTCCTAAACCTATAAATGACTAATAATAAAAATAATGAAGAATAACAAAAATCCCGAGAAATGTGAACAAGTATGTCGAGAAGTCTGTTAAGAGTAGCGAAACTGTATCTCAATAATAAGTACTTTTAAGCAAAAAATACCGACTTTAATGCTCATATGCATAAAAATTTAGGAGTACTGTTCATTTGTTCATGACAATGATCGGCAGAAAACCAAATTAGCATGAGACTACCCGTGAGGTACCAAATTATCTGGTAAAATACAAAACAAAAAACGAAATAAAACAAAAAATAAAAAAAAAATTATAAATTGATAACCGTCCTTCTTAAAAAAATGAGTGCGTATTCTACTAAAAAAAATATAAACTACCTGTGAGAAATACACAAAAATTTTGTATGTTTAAATTCAGGTGTACATGCCTCTTTATTAAAAATTTTTGAAGAAAAATATGTCCTGATTCTAATAAAAAGGTGTTTTAAAATATCGGGATTTGAATTACTGCAGCAATAATATGGTTCTATGCCACTCATTTTTTCAAATAATGCTTTTGAAAATCCAATTAAATGGCAACAAGAATCGAAGTTTTCGTTTAACACTTCATCGAGTTTCTTACAAAAATCCAGAAGGAGCTTTCACGCGATTTAAATTGTCATACTCCTTTTCTTTAGTGAAAGTAAATGCTTCTTCCGGAATTTCACCTTCATCAAATCGGGGTAATGGCTCCAAGCAAGTATGTAATTTATTATATTCAAAATACATATATCCGCAGAAATACGCAAAAGAGTTCCTTTGCAGGAAGTCGCTTTCAACGACATCGACATCTATACCGTTTCTTATACCGTCATGTATGTTAGGTCTGGGCAAACTTTGAAAGATTTGCCAGGAAGTGTCTTGAATCAGAGGATCATTACACATCCTTTCAAGGGTGCGAAACGAAAAAAATTCCCACTCGGCGCTATGCAAAGGTTCGCAATTACCGCTTGTAACAAAATTTACATGTATTAGGCCCCAGGATTGCCTGAAAAGATCTGAAAACATGCACGGAGTTGTTCTTGGATTTAATCCACCGCCCCTTCTAATCTGACCAAAATAATGTTCTATTTCGTCCTGGCAGAGTCTTCTGGTTCTTATATACTCGAATTCATGGTGTGACAATATAAGCCACAAGCGTCGCAAACTTTGGATGTTCAGAAGCCAGCCTTTAATAAAGGAAAAATTGTTCGTGATATCTCGACCAAATAGTATATCATGAACAGTTATTGAACGAAGGGTTCGTTTGGCTTCTTTCAAAAAATCTAATTGTTCCGTGCTACCTGAAAAGGGTTGACCAAATTTACGGAGGGCTCCAATCCCGTTACTGTTGAAAATATTAAAGAGTTGGTCGAAGAATAGAACGCATTCGGCAGTATTTAAGAAGCTTGGAGATTGAGACGTGTTAAGATTCCCGGTACTATAAAGAGATAGCATTGCACTAGCGACCGTATTGCTCAGTACTTGAGCAGCTAAACGAACACTCATTTTTTCAAAAGATGTGGGCTTAATATGAGCCGTAGTTAACTTAGGCGCACATCGTATACCACGATGGGTATCCTGTTGATGAAAATGGACAATATCTGCCCATTGACCAGGATTTCCGCGAAAATTAACATTGTTTTTGTTATTTTCGATGCAGTTCCGTGAACTCTTAAGCAGATGGGGGGGAATCAAAGAAAAATACGATCTTCTCACCGTTAACTTCGAAG